TTTTTACACTCCCTGTTCTTGTCGGGGGGGGGGGGGGGGGGGGGGGGGGGGTGCGAGAGGCACTGGGCGAGAGGCAGGTCCATCCTGGACAGGCCGCCCGTCTGTCACAGGGCTGACACTTAGAGACAGACAACCACACACACTCACTCCTGCAAGCAATTATGAGTCATCAATAATGTCTTTGGACTGTGGGAGGAAGCTGGAGTACCTGAACATGCAAATCCTGTACAGAAGGGCCCCGAGTCAGCCTCACCTTTTTACTGTGAGGCAACAGTACTAACCACTGCCCCTTGCTATGGAGCCAAGAGAGAAGATTTAAATATGAAATGACAGTACAACAGTGGTGTATTGTATTGTTTTGGAAGATGGTGAGGGGCCCCTTTATTGGGACTAATGAAAGGTGGAGATGTGGAACTAAACTGTACCACATTCAGTGAGATTCGGCTTTCCTTTGTTCCCCTAAGCCTCTTCATAAACAGACCATCTCCTCATGTTCTGAGCTACACATTAGAAGTCCTGTCTGGTTGGTTTGCGAAACACAAGATCAGTTTTGCAACAGTTATACAACTCAGTTTGGCACAATCCTTTAAAAGACTTTGGATGAGTTTATGTTACAAAGCATTTGTGATGAAGTCACAGATTTAATTTGCCATGGACTCACAGTTGGTAGCATCGATTACTTAGGTACATGGTCTTGACAAACATAGAGTCTTTATTTTAAACAAACAGTACTGTTACAGCAAATACTTTGCCACTGTGTTTACATAATAATATGTGCTCATTTTCAGTGCATGTGGGCTGCTATCACATCACAGGCCTTAATGCTGAATTACAGTTTGTTTTTCAGATCCCATATTTTTGTGTTGATCTTTCACATTCATGTTTGTGATGTGTGAATACCATAAACTGCCACACCTACACAGGTTTAAATGAAATGTGCTCCCACAGAGGAGGTCAGAGGAGGCTGAGGCCAGTGATGTCACTGGCAGGATGTTTGTTGTTATTAGTGTCTATCTGGGAAGTATGGTAGCGCATTTACATTGTCAGCCAGAAAAATTTAAAGGGTCACTTCCAGCTTCATTTATTGAACTAGAGTCAGCAAACCCACAGTTAATGTTAAAATGGCACCAGGGAAACATACATCCTAACAAAGTGGGTCTACAACTATGACTGTGTGTATACTTCATTTATTTCCCAAATCCTCCATGCCATCACACATCAGGGAAATCTGGTACCATTAAAGAGTCTGTGTCATGTTCATTTTCAGCAATTTCATGTTTAATCTTGGGGCCCTCTACATTAGCTTGACACCCATCATCACTCCAGATAGTCTGTAATTATTTCAGAATGATGACACCAGAGAGCCTCTTCCTAAAAATGAGAGGATAGTTTGTGCAGCAGCAGTCAGAACAAACAGGTACTGTGCTCTGGGGGAATCCAGCATTGATCAGTTGATCATTCACCACTGCCGGGTGCTTCACTGTCCGGCTCCTTGTAGGTTAGACCCGGTCAGGTAAAACAGCGAGTCCCTGTACAGGAACATTCCCAGACATGCAGTAACCTCTGGCCCTGGATTTTTCTCCACATCTTCTGGTCACAGTGCAGCAGCAGGGAGGAAAATATATCCACAAAACCAGGCGCAGTCGCAAAATTCTGCTTCTATAATGGCACCGGTGGATGTCTTTTTGTTAATATAAGCTTTATTGAAAATACACATAAACAAGGCAATGTAACATTTTGCCAATATGGTGGGGGCACCGGTGGATGTCAAACAAGCTCACATGAACTTGCAATGGCCTGGAGATTTTGACCATTCAAGGAATTCCTTAAACTATCACATAATACTTCATTTTGAGTGAGAGTTTGCAAGATGTGTATAATCTTCTTTGCTTCTGCATAAAATTACTGGAACATACATGCACCTCATTTTTTGATCTTTAGGTCACGTCTAAGATGATAATTCATCATTGTAGATAAGTCAGAAAACAAGGAAAAGTGCCATGGGCTCTTTAATGTAAGCCTATGATAAGATTTGAGGCAAAGTATTAACATGTACCTATACCACAAAATTTAAAAATTCTATTGTTATATTTGAAATAAGCAAATCTAAGAGTTGTTACCAAAGCATTAACCTGTGTGGTTAATGCAGTTCCCCAATAATATGAAAATAGCAAAGGTTATTCCTCTGTATAAATCTGGTGATAAGCACAACCTCACAAATTATAGACCGATTTCTCTGTTGTCACAATTTTCAAAAATTCTGGAAAAACTTTTTAATAACAGATTAGATACATTTATTGACAAACATAAAATCTTATTTGATTGCCAAAACGGTTTTAGGTCGAAAAGATCGACATCCTTGGCCATTACTGACCTGATGGAGGACATTACAAGTGCTATGGATGAGAAAAAATATACGATGGGGATATTTATTGACCTAAAAAAAGCATTTGATACAATCAATCATGAACTATTATTGGATAAGTTAGAG